ATAAGTCCAAGTACTTTTGAGACCTAAAATAAATAAATTGATTTTTAAACTGAGAGATCTTAGACTTTGTTAGATTACTCAGAAGAAAGTGGCCGTGAAAAAGCACTGGTATAGAATGCTGATAAAGTTGTTGATTAGGAGAATATTAAAACTTGATTCAACATGATCCATCATAGAAGTACATAACTGAACCCAATAGTACTCCTCAAAGATGTAGGGTAATACTTTAAAGATGAATTACTAATTCGAGTTTTCAACTATGCAAGCTTTAGGCATTGAAAAAAAATTGATTGTTTCAAATATCTTTAATTCAGTAATTTTTTCCGCTTTGGTCAAGAAGAACTTTCTAATAACGCCTAAGAGACTTGGAATGATGCTTTAAACAGTTAGACATTTGCGAATTTTAAAAGTAGTTCTCTTTAAAGCTATCATATAAGAGTAGTAGTAGTAGTAGTAGTTCGAAAAACGAAAAATTTTGTAACCCGGAAAAAAAAGAATTTTCTATTGGAGAAAAGGAATAAAGTAAAGTATAAAAGTAAGCACTTTACAAAAGTGAATCACTGAGAGAGTGCCTCCAAAGTACAGCCATTATTTCTTCGCTGAACTGCAAGATCCAGTCTCTGTTTAAGATGTTTAAGAGCGAGTTTCTCACCTGTCGCGTCCTTGATCTTACCTGCAAAGTCTTTGATGAATTCAATCGATGTTCTCCCAATCCCGCCTAACGTTTCTATGGCTATGGGTTCAAAAGTAACAGTTGAAGGGAGATCCGAGTAATGATTCTTTTTTCGCTCTTCGGCTTCAGAAGCAGCGCTGGAGCCAGGAATGATCCCTAGATGCACATTCGAGTTAGCCAGTCGGCTAATGCATGTGAAATCCCACCCTAGAACCCGTTCTCTAGACCAAGGCGTCAGAGTCAGCCCATCAGGTCTTCGACCATCTTTACGTAATAAACCTACTGGTTCAAGAGAAGATGGGTAGCCTGCTGCTTTAATTGCTTCTTATATAAGAACATAGCAATTAGTATGCCTGGTGAAACGGTGTTTGATCTTTGGACACACTAGTGCATGATTTCCGTCAGTGTGTGCCATTCCACCGGATTGGCACCATCGAAGATCGCATCCTTCGACGGAAGAAAACGGACAAAATGACGTTAAAGACGAATTCGTGATGAAAACGAGGGTAGGAATTTTCTGGAATTCACAATTTTTATAATTTCGATTTTCAGCAGATTATTTCTGAGAAAAGAGGGAACGGCCATTTTGACCAGAAAACGGGATAAGAACACAACGAACGAGAACATCGAACGAACAAGTCAAGAAAAACAACAGCAAAAAACGGAGTAACTATCATGACTATCACACACAAAAAGGCAATTAACTGAGGCAGGTAAGAAGAAAGGAGGCTTCAGTGGGACAGCCGGAGTAGATCTGTACCCTCTCGTGCCACGAGATTGAGGAGATAAGATTGTTATCTCAGGAGGAGAACGGAATATGAGGTCTGGTGCCCAGAGACTCAGTAGACTGTAATATACACTTTTTAGCTGCTGTGATCCCCTGAATGGTTGAATTAACTTCGGTTTTATATAGTCTTTCAGAGCATGATTAGCTAGGAAGAGGAAAAGATCAATCCATCCCCAATGGATTTAGTATTTTACTGTCACTAAAAACATAGTAAATATTGGATTTTGAGCCGCGTTTTTAATGGTAGTCACGTATTCTGGAGATCCGAGAACCAGCTATGGGCAACGAAAGCTGGTCAAAGGTCGTTTGACTGATGGCCTAAAAATGGAAACTTTTCACTTAGCCCTAAACAGACCAGAAAACTAACTGGCTAGGTTTAGACGGTGAAAAACGAGTAGAATTAAGGTGCGTTTCTTTGCTCCGTCACTATGCAGTGTTTGGGCGAATGTTACATAAACGTTTTTATGGCGCTCCTGTGTGGGCCTGTTAAAGGCATGACAATCATAATCAGCAAACGTTTCAGTAACTAACACTCCGCTCCGGGCGTATTACCGAATTAGAGGCCTTAAGATCTTGTATGGTATTAGGCGGGAGGTACCGACCCTCCACCTCTTACGATTTAGCTTTTTAACTTAGTTAAGACCAAAAATTCCGGGGCCGGAGGGTTAGGTGGGAAGTCATGAGCCCGCTTGTCACAAGGCCCTGGGACCAAAAATAATGAAAGAGAAACCGTAAAACAAAAACGGAGGATAAGCAACAAAAAAGCCAAAAACAAATTTATTTGAAAATAAAAAAGTACAAAAACCCAAAAAAAATTCAAAAACAGTAAAAAATGTAAAATGACAGTTTATGTACAATTTCCAGACGAGATGTGATCTGACCTTCCTACTTGTTGTTGTTTCAGATTAATTTATATCATTTCTGATCGAAGAATTGAGTGTTTTGGTGGTTGACTAGGTACCCTCCCTTGAGTGTTGTTTGAGTATTTAAACACGTTAATGATAACTTTGCCGGTGACTGGAGGGTAGGTGGCAAGCTGAAAGACGTGTTCCAGACTCAACAAGAGGCAACAGGACAACATCCACAACGACTGCTGGGTATCGTTAACACAGTTTTGGTATCGTTCGGGTTTTATTTCAATAAAACTTAAGTGGTGGGGGGCACAATTGGCGCGGTCCGATTGCACCCTCCATTGATTGCGAATTTCCGAGTTAAAGGTCCTAAGTCGGGTGTTTTGGTGTAAAGGAGGGTATAGTAATATTGATTATCGACTACTAATAGGTTATTATCTTTATTAAATATTACTTATCTCCCATTTGGAATTACTCTATGAGTATAAAAAATAAGTCATAACTGACGAATTATAAGTTTGACCGGTTTATTTCTCAAAAACGGGAATAAGTTCTGTTTTTGCAATTATTTCAAATAATTGAAAGATTAAATTTCTAATTGTCTCAAATTAAGCAGTGGATAAAGTAAATTCTTTTCTATTCGGTTCCAAAGCAAGCTATTGACTTAAAAATAATTTAATAAGAAAATGCGCTTGGTTTTTTTGAGTTCAACCACTTTCAATCTTATAGTTTCACTTAAGTGAAACATTATTCAAACTTTTTTTATACTTTTCAGGTTATCAATTCCAGAAAAAAAAAGATTTGAATCTAGGTCTTTTTAAGTTTCACCTGAAAACAAAAAGATGCAAGTGAGGCTTAATCAATAGTATGCATTAGGAAAGCTCGTTTATTTGTCAAGCCTTATAAACCGACAAAATTCCGATAAGTCCAAGTACTTTTGAGACCTAAAATAAATAAATTGATTTTTAAACTGAGAGATCTTAGATTTTGTTAGATTACTCAGAAGAAAGTGGCCGTGAAAAAGCACTGGTATAGAATGCTGATAAAGTTGTTGATTAGGAGAATATTAAAACTTGATTCAACATGATCCATCATAGAAGTACATAACTGAACCCAATAGTACTCCTCAAAGATGTAGGGTAATACTTTAAAGATGAATTACTAATTCGAGTTTTCAACTATGCAAGCTTTAGGCATTGACAATTTGTATCAGATTGATTGGAAAAAGTTCCATCTTTTAATAAAATAGTCAATCCCAAATTGTTGGCAGTATCGGTTCGGTGACCTTGAGCTGCAGAAAAAATTTTCAATTAGATATTCTTTTCTGCGTTCTTTTTTGTTTCTTTCACGTTCTCATCTTTAGAACATCTTTATTTATTTCTTGTAATGGACTCAATACTGTGCATGGTAATTCTGAGTCATTCTTTGCTATGAGTTTCTCACACGGCTCGTCGTGAGCTGTCTCAGTGGAAGAAGTTTTCTATCCAATTACTTATCCAAGGAATTGAGAGCTGTAGTTTTGATTTCATAGTTTGGTTTTCGTTTGCCATTTTACAGCCTCTGTAATTTTTAAATAAAAATTTTACAATAATTAGGCTCATAAAAATGATTTTGAAATAAATTTGAACACATGTATATCAATAACATTTTTCCAAAAAATGAGCGGAAAAGTCTGAGAAAGTTTTTCGTTGGTATGTTCCAGTCAACTCGCGGGTCTAGTTTAAAAATTAATTTCGAGATTTTTTGTCAGTCTTGCTACCGAGTAACCAAAAAATTCCTTTTTTGCCCTAGAAGGCAATACAAGAAAGATCGAACTGAAAACAAAAACGTTGTTTTCAGAAAATTTTGAACCATTGATCTTTCTATAAAAATCAGGCCTTATTTCCAGAATACTTTGAGCAACATAAAAAGAAAAATAAAATTAGTTCTGAAAGCTTACCTCCGGGCGCTCCATGATTTAACTTGGATCAAGTTAACATTCCCTCCGGATGGTCAAGGGCGGATCTAGGATTTTCTCGAGGGGAGGGGAGGATTTTCATAACAAACTTTCGAAATTTTTGTCTACTTTTTTTAGGTCGACCAAATTGATTATCTGAGCTCTCCTAAAGTATTAAAAAGACCGTGTTTGGGTAAATTTATCTGCGCCACGGGCAAAATTTTGAAAATACAGGACAAAAAAGCATTTTTAGGAACTTTTTGGACAATTTTTGACCAAAAAGTTGCGCTTTTTCGGCGCGCGCTTTCTCCTCAAAATATGTATATATTGGCGCCAAATTTTTAGGGTCCGTCACCAAATATGGATATCTCTAAATAGTACAAAGGGGGACCCTTTGGTTCGGCAAGGGGTCAAATCCCTGAGGGCGAGGCGTCCGCTCCAATCCCCCCCCCCCTTAAATCCGCCCCTGCGGATGGACCACATTAAGACATTACACCCAGCTTTTATTTGGATTGAATTTGCTAAGCGTTGCATGTATGTAAAGTACTTGATTATTCTGAAAATTTGAACTTAAAACCAACTTAAAACCAAGTTAACATCCCCTCCCCGAAACTGTTTTTTTTTGGAGGGGGGTGCAGATATTAACTTGGTCTAAATAGTTATCAAGAAACAATACCAAAAGTTAACTTCTGGAACAAGTTCTGTAATACTTTGAGTACTCGATTTCTATCGATGTTTAATCAGACAATGCATTGAAAGTTGGTCAATATTCGCTTGTAAGCACACAAATTGAAAACGCATGGTTACTTTTCGTGGTTAAATTGCTCGGCAAACTGATTGACAATGTTTTCTGTCATCAAACTACGCATTGACTGATTCTGTGCCTTAACATCCTACACCAAAAATTAGCTTCACCTTCTCACAATTATAGTTAATGCCAAATTGTTGACAATATCGGTGACCTCGTGGAATTTAATCGGTCAAAAACTATAGCATCTTAGGTTAATTAGTTTTTTAAGACAAGGTTTTTATGAAAGGAAATCAGTGAAAAACAGAAATCCGACGTCAAAATGAGCAGTTTGAGGTTAATCAACTTCGTTCAGATTCGTTGACCGAAAAGATGTTGCCAACAATTTGGAATTAACTGAGAAGATCAAACCAAAACAAGTGAAAAACTACTCGTAAACTTTGTTTGTCCAAACATTGAGTTGAACTCGCAACATCATAAAAGTTGCAGCGATTGAAAAACCTGGAATGTTCAGGAACAAAACAAGTCTTAGCTTACAAGAAAATCATTTTGTGAACGTTATCTTTCTATTCAAACTTTTCTGAACACGTACTATTTGGTTTCAAACACGTACTTTTGATGATAAAAGTTGTTTAAATAAAACTATGAAAAAATTGAATGAGAAAAACAAAAATTTTGCAAAATCTCGATACTTGTATTGTTCATTGTTACGAAATTTGTTTTGATTTAATGTTACCAATCACGAAAACATCAGAACTCTATCTCAATTCCATTAAAAGTTAATTGCTGCCAAGAATAAGGACAAAAGATAAATCATCGAACCGAAACTCAAGCCCAAAAACAGGTAAACTGATTTGGTTGAAGCGAGATGGAAGGCAATTTAACGTGTGAAGTTGAGAGTGCGAGTGAAGTAAACTGCAATGGAACGCTGTTCAGTTCAGCCGACCAATCAGAAGACATGATTGAGCCATTCAGTCTCTACTTCTGGATCTACCTGGGCATATATGTTGGACTCGTCATATCCGCTGGTAAGTGAGCATTTATTACTCTTTAAGGTCATTGTAACCCGGGATTGAAGCAAGCTGTTGTTTGGCTCGAGGCCCGCGACGCACATAGCTTTGAAAGTAGCATTGCATTTTTTCCTAACATTAAATATGAAGCTGGGTTGCAAAAGTCAAGTAATAAGAAACATTGGTGGCGCCGGGCGAGAAGACGATGTTCTTCTCGGTCGAGAAAGTCGTGCCGTTTTCTAGTGCAGATGTCTGATCGCGAAAGTCGAAAAGTGCCACTTTCGTGTCACGGAAGTCTGAAAAGGTCGAACTTTGATCGCTTAAGTCTGGACATAAACTGTGGAACTCAACCCAGGTAGACTTCGCTCGGCATTACTTGCTTGATCAAGCATAATTTTCATTGATATATTTCGCTACGTAGGAAACTGTCACTTGAAAAAATGAAACGTCAGATGAATCTATGCCTCTTTTTGCACAGGCATACATAAATCAAATCATCTGCATATTGGATCGTATCGTTTTAATTTGAGGTCTCGCTTCTGGGCTGACTTTGGGTCTCTTATCTCTCGACACCACCATCCTTCAAGTGATCTCTCGTGGCTCCTCTGACGAGAAAGAGAGAAAGCAAGCCAAGGCCCTCCTTCCCCTAGTGAAGAGACACCATCTTTTGTTGGTGACTCTGTTGCTGACCAATGCGGCTGCAGTTGAGTCTATGCCGGTGTTTCTGGATCGACTGGCTGGTCCTGTGACAGCAGTTTTGGTATCAGTCACTGCTGTGCTGTTGTTCGGAGAGTAAGTTCAGCAGACCAAATTAAGGCAATGCATATTAGGGAAAAGACCTACATACAAGATGTGTGGCTCTTTACGGTTAACCGTTGTAGTTCGCCTGCTTAAGAGCTACAAGCAGTTTTGATTACTTTTGCTTCCTCGCCCACATGTAACGATGACGGATCATTATGGGCACCTAGGACCTCTGATTTCTGCGTACTTTCATTTGTTTTAAGGTAATCGTTTTTTTAAGTTTTGGATTGTGTTAAATGATTTAATCTATTCTACCAAAAACTTCAAAATTTCAATCAGCCAGTCTTATGATTCAGTTTTATGATCAGCCAGTCTTATGAGTGAAATAAGTACTTAAAGTCCAGAACTCTGGCTTTAAATAATAAAAAGTTATGTCTGTAGTTGCGAGTGGAGCTTAAGATTATCACAATGAGTTTTGTTTTAGAGTAATCCCTCAAGCAGTATGTTCTCGTTTCGGAACTGCCATCGGATACTACGCTAGACCGTAAGTCACAGCTCTTGTTTTCAAATCCCCCACTCTGTGGTTGATATTGATTTATACGTAGTCCTTCTATAATTTAGCAATCCAAACATTATTGTTACACCTAGTTGCAAATAGAGTGCCTATCGTTTGTTTTCAGACTGGTGTACTTTTTGATGGCTGTGACCTTTGTGATTTCCTGGCCCCTCGCCAAGATACTGGACTGTATTCTGGGACACAACCATGGCACCTACTACAAGCGAGGCGGTAAGTTCAGTTCACTTAAATCACACTCAAAATAGATACCCGACGAAACTCCTCGTATCTCCAGGCAAAGCTGATATCGGGATAACCTTGGGCGTCAAATAAGGACTGTCAAGACAGAGGCGTCTCAAATTGGTATAATTTGTCCAGTGGGATCTCCCTAGATAATTTTCTATTTAAACGAATATATAATTACTATAAATACAAAAAAAGCTCAAAATTGTACAAAAATTGGAAACTGGAACCTGTTCATTTTTAGCTTGCATTGATTTTGAACTTGGATAGTTTTTAGAGTCGGAGCTGTAATTTTTGAAATAGAGTTATGAAAGTTTAGACGATTGATAAATATATTCTGACAAGTCACTTATCTAGTTCGAAATCAATTTCTCAAAACCCAGTGTTAACGAAAGCCAGACTCTAAACCTTAACTTTTACGCTCTTATCACGTTTCTTTTCTGCAGAACTGGGTGCTCTGGTGGACATATTAGCAGATGACAATTCTGAAAATCCAGAGCCACTCTCACAAGACGAGAAGTCCATCATCAAGGTACACAAAAATGCGTAAAATTATGGTGCAATGAAAATAATTGCTCCCTAGAGCAGTTTATTGTGAAAGTATCATGATGTATAAGATTGTAAATTTTATCTAGGCTTCAGAAATTTTTTTTGTGAAAAACAACAGAAGACCGAAGCAAAAATTTTGTATTTTGGTTTTCATAATCTACTAATTGTGTTTTGATTTTCACTATCTGAGATCAAGTCCGACAAGACAAAGTATAAAATTTTTGAAAGTGAAAACAAAAGTTTAACAAGACTGCTCGTATACCAGGGCAAAGTCCTGAGTGTTCCGACTGTCCTTCAATCCGTATCGATTAGATTTGGGAAAAGAAAACATTAAAAAACTATCAATTTTGGACAACATCAATGATCAAGTGTGAAAATTCAATTTACAAAATAATACGACCGATTAGTTTAGGTAGCATCAATTCATTTTGGAACAATTTTGTTGCGCGGGATAAGTCGTCACGTATAAGTTGTTCGCATTACGCCTTCATGATGAAAGAAATCTTCAAAGCGCGCATGGTCGTATTGACAATTTAGAGCCTGGTCATATTGGCAATTTTCAAATACCCAAAACTTTCGGAGGTAAAATATATTTTGAATTTGATTTCGGGAGGTGATATCTTTGATGAGACATAAAATTTATTTGCTTAAAACGATTATTTCGATCACCGAAAATTGACTGATTGAATATAAAAAACCTTACCAAGCAAATATGCCGTTTCTTTTCTCAAAATCTAGATCAATAAAAAATTCATAGAACAAAAAATAGAATAAAAAATGAGATATTATTATTGACAACGCTCTTGCATATCAAAAGCATGTAAAATAAATACTCAAACAAGTCTGCCCCGAGTCTTCCGATTGCAATTTAGGAGTAACTTCTTCGGAGTAACTTAATTCAAAGTATTTGAAGAATTTTATAGAAAAAATCAAAACTCCAAAATTGTTTTGAGGTTTGTTAACATTGCACCACACACTATGTAAGAATCCTAAATATAAAATTTTGCATATAGCAAAATACTGAATAGACCATGGAGCATGCCTCGTTAATTTTCACCTATCGGCCAAATTGCAATATTTAAATCCATATAAATTTACCACAAAAAATTCGGGTTGAAAAATTGAATTTTGCCTAGAGAACAAAAACCAACCCGAGCTAAAAATTCTGTCGTTTTCTGCGAAAATAATCGGAGAAAAAGTAATTACGAATAAAAGCCGAAATTAACATTAGAGAAAATATCCAAAAATGGAATAGAAGACTTCAGAAGAAATCTAAATAAGGATAGCCGGTTTCTGTGGAAGTATATAAATTGAATGACCTGCATTTTGCGGCGAAAAAAAAGTTTAAAAACGTCCCAACTCTTTAACAGTTTTTCTATCGCTAATTCAAATCTATATTCAAGCAAATTTTTTAAAAAACTGCGAGCAGTGATATAATTGATAAAAGATTTTAATTCCGTTTTTTTTACACGCAGCAACTTTTTGTTTCTGATTAGTAGAATCAGTTTTAGTATCTGAAAATCATTCATTTACATCTGCGAAAAAAAATCATAAAAACTTTCCAGCGCCCATTATTAGAATTTGAGTAATAGTTTTGATTCGGAGCGTTTTACTACTTCCTGAAATAATCTAATAAAACAGTTTACTTTCAGAATTTAAACGTCGCTGGAACTTATGGGCATGTATTATCCAGGGTAATTGTGTAGTGAAACAAACACAAAAAATTATATGGGCGGCCAAATTATCTGCCTTGTGATTTCTAAGCGGATCCGCAAGTTGAACGCGCTTTTTGATCTTTTTTTGATACTTTTCTTTGATTGTTCCGACAAAACGTTACCATGTCCAAGAACTTTTCTCTGTATGCCAGAGAGCTACACACAGCAAATTGTGCAGAGTTTGGCCAGCTATCCAGGGCACAGTATGACCACCTAAGTTTATAGGTTTAAAATTAATTACACAAAAAACTCAATTTTGTTTTTTGTTTGTTGAAATTCTAGTATAAAACTTCCATTCATTAAAATACACTATTCGTACAATTTTAATATGTTGAAACATTAATTCATAGAGCTATCTGCTTATTAACATTTAGCTCATTAATTTTTATATTGACCACAGAATATCTACAAATATCAGATTATTTATGAATATCCCTAAACTAGCCGGTTTTTTTAATAGACAGCTTTACCCAATTTTCAATTATTTTTGTTTTAGATTTTGTCGTAAATTGTTGTAAATTTTTGTGCAAGGAGCCATGGTATATTCATTTTTTTGATGAAATTGTAACAAAAAATTTAGACAATACTGCTCGTATCAGGGCAAAATCCTGAATGTTTTGACTGCACTTTAATTTCTATGGATTAGTTAAAATGAAAAAAAAAACGATAAAAATTTCAAAAAAATGAAAAACGTTCAAAAAATGTAGTTGCACAAAGGTATGTAATTTGCTTGTAGCAAATTATTAAATAGACCAAAGAGCATGCCTCAACCCAAATCAGAATATAACTTCATAAATAACTTAAAAATGATCAAAATGATCACGAAAAATGATCACATTATCGTTTTAAATTTGAGCTCAAGACAACAATACCTTTCGAATGATATAGAAAAAACCGCCAAAAATCGCTAGTTAAACAATCAAATTTTGTCTACAGAAAAAAAATCACCCTGAGCACAAATAATCCGTCATTTTTTTCGAAAAATAGTTGGACCAAGATAATACAAGAAACAAATAATAGAACAAGAAATTACTTTTTTTTCTTTAAGACAATGCAACCAGGCCATTTATTCAGCAGGAATATTAAAATTGTTCAATGTTTTACGCAGAGTCGTTTGCTGCGCCTCTCGGTAGGATTTACAAAGGAAATAACAAAAAGTGCGAGGAAAAACTTATGAGCATTGTGATCCTTTTCAAAGCGCTTGCAAAAAAAAGCGTTTTTTTTTTCAAAGTTTTATTTAACCGTGAAGCGACCAGCACAGATCCTGTTTGGCCTCGGACTCTTGATTATTCGATTTTAATGATTGATTTTTAGGGTGCTCTATTGATGCGTAACAAAGCAGTGGGCGATGTGAAGTACACGAGTCTGCGGGATGTTCACATGTTAGACTATGACTCAACATTCGACCAGGACACCGTTAATTATGTAAGAGAGTTCCGAACCTTAAGCTTGTCAAAAACTGTGAAGTGGAATTAGACGAACTGTTTTGAAAAAAAAACAGCCTTTGCCCTGGACTTTTCCTGTAATGCATATTGGTGTTTTGGGCTAGGTAACTTGTTTTCAGTTATCTGATTGGGTAATTGCTTTAAGAAGTATCTTCTCATTTGCAGTTTGACATATAATACTTTTCAACTTTTTGAAACTCATCATGATTCGCTGCTTTGGTTCTCTTTTTAATTCATTTGAGTTTCTGTCCCTCAATTGTTTCAGATCATCAATTGTGGCCACTCTAGACTGCCACTGTTCAGCAAGAGGAGGACCAATCTCCAGGGTCTCATCATCACCAAGCGACTCATAGGGTGTGACCCCACTGCTAACATTCCCATGCGAGACCTCAAACTCTACAGGTATGAACAGATCAAAAACACTTCGCTTTCTTATCAGGCCAAGATTGGTTATTTTGGATCGACCCTACAAGGCATTTGTTTTTGGGGTCCAAGTGAATTCTCAAGGAACCAACAACAATTAAAAATGCTTGAAAAAATAAAAACTGAAAAAATTAGTGGTGGATGATGGTAACAAATATCTCAATATAGAGTCAAAATTTAGTATGGGTTCACATAAGCACTCTTCGTGCTTTTTTTAAACAAAAAATTTGATTTTTTCCTTCCCAAATTTGGGTTATCAACTTATAAAATTGCGCAGCTTAATATTGTTTGCAATACTTAAATAGAACAAGAGCAAATACGTTTTAATGGACCTTTCTGTTTCAAATATCAATAGTCCAAAAAGAAAAAATTCTATTGTCGTGATGGGGCTAAAACTTTTCTGTTTCTAGGCTTGTAGGCTACAATAGATGGGTAGGCTACAATGACAAGAAGCCAGAAAATCTAACAAATAGTTTATTTTTAGAAAAAACAGCATCTTAATTTTCTAGGGGGCATGACATTAAGAGAGTTCATGAGAAACGGGCACTGTTCGATGCTCTGAATGACTTCCAGGCGGGGGAACATCTGGCTGTGGTGACCAGACCAGTCCAGGTCAAGACAGACACATTAGACACTGGAGAGGTGGAGTGGCTACCTTCTGTGAGTACACAGTTCATCAAAAAATCATCAAACCAGCCGCTGGAATCGCTCATCACATAAGCTGGACCAACTTTTTCAGAAAAGTGGAAAACTTTTCAAAAAGAAAATGTAATATTTATTTACTACAGTAACTATTTAGCAATTGGCCAAACTCCTAGAACTCAAAATCAGGTGACTTACCCTGCTTGCCTTCGTATCTGCTAACGAAGGCAAATATTTATGAAGATTGAAAAAGTAACATCGGTAACATCGTCGGGTTTTTGCAGACCGATGAAAATGATGTTCTGGGAATCATCACTCTTGAGGACATTCTTGAGGAACTATTGCAGGAACCCATCTACGATGAGTCAGAATTGAAGATGGAGGTTCTGAAGAGTCTTCATATATCTATGAAGTCCCCCGGCAACATCGCTGCTTCCCAGAGAGGGGGAGAGGACATGGCTTCCAGTTGGGCCAGTAGGAGCCAGAGGGTAGTCAGACAGCCCATGTTTGTGAGACAGTCTTCAACTGGAAAAATTGCAACACCGACTTCCAAAACACCAGTAATTATTCAAATTTTCAATTTTAACAAAACTTCTTTGATAGAAACTGTTTTTAAAAGCAAAGTTTGGCATTTAATGTTGGCTATAATATCCATATGCAGGTGAAAAGAAGAAAATTTTGTGTTTTTTTGTGCAATATTAAAACTTTAAACGAAAAAGAGAAGATATGAAAGTTTTCACTATTGCAATAAAATAAAACAAGACTGCTCGTATCAGGGCGAAGCCCTGAATGTTCCGACTGCCTATTAAGGTTTATGGAGCAGTAATAACATTAGAAAATTAAAAGTAATAAAACAAAATGAAAATGTTTTTTCTAAAATTTGAAAATTTTTATGAAAACCATCCCCCCACAAGCCATATAAAGTACAAAAAGAGAAATTTCGTTCCTTGTAACAAATCAATTATGGCAAATAAGCTTCGTTGAATCAATTTGGAACGATTTTAAGACGGATTAATTCTCCGCTCACGCGTTAATAGTGCGAAATATATATCGCGCGTTAATTGTCCCAAATTGGTCAAAATGGCAATCTTTAAACCCTCATAACTTTACGAAAAATGATCACAGGTGAAATATCTTTTCAAATTTAAACTCAGGACAACACTACCTTTTGAATGTAATAAAAAAATCCCATCAAAAATGGCTAGTTAAAAAGTCGAAATTTGTCTGAAGAAAAAAAAACCCACCCCGAGCACAAATATTCCGTTACTTTCTTATCGAAAGTCGGAACAAAAAGAGAGATTTCGCTCCTTGAAACAAATCAATTATGGCAAATAAGCTTCTTTCAACCACTTTGGAACGATTTCTAAGACGGATTAAATCTCCGCCTACGCGTTAATAGTGCGAATTATATCTCGTGTTAATTGTCCCAAATTGGTCAAAATAGCCAAAATGGCAACCTTTAAACCCTCATAACTTTACGAAAAATGACCACAGATGAAATATCTTTTCAAATTTAAGCTCAGGACAACAATAGCTTTGGAATGATATTAAAAAAATCCGTCATAAATGGCTAGTTAAAAAGTCGAAATTTGTCTGAAGAAAAAAAAACCCACCCCGAGCACAAATATTCCGTTACTTTCGTATCGAAAGTCGGAACAATTATGAAATTTAACTATGGTTTCATTTCAGCTACTGAAGCGAAAAAAATCTGCCGGCATGCGACAGCAGAAACAAAGCATAACGAGTAACACTTATTCAAGTGTGGGGGGAGGGGGAGAACAAAGCGACTTAGGGGGGTATAGCTACGTACAGTACCACTATAGACCCAGTTTGAACAGCTCTGGGGGTCATGTTAATTTTGGGTCAGCTATGGAAAGAGAACAGACAGCACATAATAATGGACCTGCTTTTAACTCAAATAACACTGATAGAGAAGCATTGCTACAAAATGACAATAAATGGTGATAAAAACTCGAGCTAAATTCTATATCTTATCTCATATTTTTATTTTTTTAAAAGTTTGTTTCATGTGAATAAAATAAGTTGATTTTTATGCAGCATACTTTTTGGAGCATCAATTATACGCTTAAGGTATCAAAATGGCCCATTTAAAAACGATAGGCAGAATATTCTAAGGCTGTGGTGACTATAATACTGGCTATGTACATCCTTAATTAGGGTTGACCATGTAGGGTTGAACATAGTGAAGCGGAAAAGTGTGAAGGAAAAGCACAGAATCTATTGTAAAAATGGAGTAATTTTCAGAAGTGAAAATACTAAAATTTTAAATTGTGTTGATAACATAGAGACAACTGAATGAATGGGCAAATAATCAAATTAAGTTTGAATTAGAAAAAAAAATCAGCACTCGGAAAAAAGATTAAATAAATTATAGGCCATTATGATGAAAATAGATTATAATAAATTGACAAAAAAGAAGAGAAAGTGATTCCTTTATGAGGCAAAAACTGTGTATATTGTGAACCGTAGCGGATTCCGCAATCATATAGTTCTCTTTGTCTTTTTAGTTCTTTAGTTTTTCGATTGTTCCGACAAAATTTTCAACACGTTTAAGGATATATTCTGGATTCTAGAGATCTACAATCACCAAGTTGTTCGCCCATGCAGTGAACAGTATAGCCTCGAAAGGTCATTATAAAATGTTTTTTGGCGAAGAAATCCAATTTAAATTCATTTCAAATCAACCATTTGAAAAGCAGTTTGAATCTTCAATTTCGCAATGTTTTACTGCACGATGTTACTAAAAATCGGCATAAAGTAAATCGGCGAAATTACGAATAATATATAATATTCACAGAAGTTCGGTTCGATGTGCTAATTAATCTAATCAGGATTATCTTAACGTAGTTCGTTTGTCACAGGAAGAGTTTTTATAAACAAATGAATGTATACTGTTTCTGATACTATGGTACTTAATAATAATTAACTGGTTTGAATAGCGGTAGTTAATAACGCAGTCTTTAAAATAGTTTACTGTTTTTTTTTAGTTTCAGAGAATATTTTTGGTATCTCAAAATAGTATCTCTGTAGTATTATTGTTGCTGAGCAACTGTAAATTTAAGTTTGAACTATAGTTGCATAAGGTACAAGGACAGTAGCCGAGCGTATACGCAATGCGTACCGGTGGATTCGGTGTAGGTTCTTATTCTGCCTAGGTCATTTCCTTTCTAAAACTCAAATATGTGCTGAGCTAGACTGGATATGAATTTTCGCTCAACGAACGGGTTCAAACCCCCAAAATCGTTTCTGTTTTTTAAAGATTTTTAAACTAGCTCATAAAACGGCCTTGGCCGACCTTGATTGACAGGTTCTCGTCCGTCAAAACCATGTTTTGCCACAGTGAACGCACTCACACGCTAAATCTTTGGTGGTGATTCAACTTGCCTTTATTGAATATGTTTTGAATATGTTTAACCGAAATACAGTTTGAAGAGATATCGCGTTTTTAAAGTCAGCTCGACCGGATCGCCTAAAAATTTCAGTCCAATCTATATCATTTCAGAAAACTACCCAGTCGTATAAATTAGTTTGAGCTCCGGTGATCTCAGGTTTACTCCGAGTGGTTAAAGTTTGGCTGGAAAAAATAGTCGTTTTTGATTTTGAAAGCCTCCCTAAAAACAAAAACAGTTTCACACAAAAAGCAATCTTGCGAATGTAACAAGAAAAGCTGGAATTCAAAAAACTTCAATTAGCCCTTATCTTTTTTTTTCTTAACGCAACTAGAAAAGCAAGCAGTCAGAAATACCACTGTGTTTTTAAGTGAGCCATCCTTTCTTGATTGGTTAAAAATTGAGCTGCAAAAAACCAGCTAACCAACAGATGTCGTTTCGTTCTATTTGGATGATATTGGATTGTCACTAAAAAGAACAGAAAAAATAGCTAAAGAGGACCAATATTTTAGCAAAAAAACTGAAAAAAAGGACGAGAAAAAAGCACTTGCCAAATGTCTGATGATTTTATCAAAAACAGTTGCATTTTCTTTTACACATCAAGAAGCGCTCAAAAAAGTATGCTTAACCGCGGCTAAAATTGGTTCCGGAAAAACAACAAAGAGTTCAGCAGGAGTAGGTAATAAACAATTCTATTACTACCTGAATATGTACAATTACTATACAATAACTAAAGAACTAAAAGACCAAAATGGCTGAGAATAAATTACGAATGTCTAATCCAAAAGAGCAATAAAAACTGAATAATCGACCGATGGTCGATATGAAACATACTTAGCAGGTATCTAATTAATGCTGAAGGTCAAACGGTGAAAACACAAGGAACAACTCGCAACATTCACTAACGGGAAAAACTCTAAATTTTTACAATTAGCTAAACTACATCTATATACACCCATTTCCCCCTTCAAAGTGGAGATAAACAAAATTTACATACCGCACAAAACAAAATGAAATGAACAGAACAAAAATTTGTTATCTACAATTAAGGTTGATATGTACAAATATGCCAAAATGGGCGATTTTGTTACATAAGCTACCTAATCTGCACTGAATATACACAGGGGTAAAGTAACTTTAGGATACAAACTGTACACAAAGTGCACACTGACTTAAAAAAGTATGACGAAAAAATAAGACGAGAAAATTATAACATGTGAAAAGGAGTGCCTTGTGATCTATCACAATTTCGAAATCCGAGCCATACAAGTAGTTTGTGAAGTGCTCGCATGCCCAAACTTCATCTAACAGTTCGGAATCGTTGGTTGAGTATTTGATTTTGTGGTTGTTCAAAAAGCTCGAGGCGAACGCTTTTGTTTTCCACTCTCCCCCTTGAACTGTTCAAGAGTGGCTCCTAGGCCATTGTATGAAGCGTCAGTTTTCAATTTTGTTTTTTCTTTGATAGATATTTACAATTTCCGATTTAAGTTTTTCGAATGCGATGGAATGACTGTTGTCCCATTAGTACACTGACTTTTTGTTCAAAAGAGGGCTTAGTGGACAGCTTAAATTAGACCAATTTGGAACGAATTTAATATATTGATTAATCGAGCCGAAGAATGAACGAAGTTCTGAGATATTCTTTCGAATTGGTAGGTTTATAGCATCAGCTTTTCCGACCAATGGTCTAACCCCCGCTTCTAAAATCTTGAACCTGAGCCATTCTATCTCTTTCTGGAAAAATGCGCAATTCACCCAATTCACTGCTATATTGTGTTTGTCCAGAGTATCCAGAATTCTTTTTACAGTTGCATTATGTTCTTTTCATAGTTCCTTTGGAGGCAATTATTATGTCGTCTATGTAACAATTTGTAAGAGGGATTCCTTTTAAAAGTGAGTCCTTGACCCTTTGGAACTAGTTAGGCATATCGCCCAATCCATAAAATCCCGTTAAAAATCTGTAAGTTTCAGTAGTTTCTCCCCCCTACTATGCTAAAGTTGCATTGTTTACTTGGCTTTTCGCATAACTGAAGCTGACTATACGCGTTCTTTAAATCCAAGTTAGTGAACCAGACCTGCCCGTAGGTCTTCTCTTATAATTGTAAGGCTACATTATCTATCAATTCGTGGATATTGGGCATCTGGTAATTATTTTCAAAGATCTGGTCGTTCAATAGTTTTGAGTCTAGTGCAAGTTTTTTTCTAGTTTTAACTATTGGACGTATAAAACAATCTTTGTCGCATTTGGCCAGTTTTTCAATGTGGCCTTCTTTTTCCATCCTTTTTAGTTCCTCCTTTACTCCCGATAACCAAGGTAATGGTACCCTTGTGCCTTTTACTTGGACTGGTTTAAAAGGGAAATAGAAATATGTAACTTTACGATCGTTTGGTATCTTTCCGATTCTGTTAAAGAGGTTCTTAAAATTCGTAAAAAGTTCGTTTGTTGCATAATCTAAGTAATTTGACTTACTCTTCACCGATGGATTGCTGACTGCACAGATCGGCACTGGACACTTCTTCTGTTTCACTTCAATCCCTAGTTTCGGAAGGTTGTCGTTGGCCAGAATGTTTCTTTCATGACCTCCCGTAATAAAAAAGAGGGTCTCTTGGCATATCCACCTTTGGATTGTGTTTGGACTAATATTTTTCCCAATACATTGATTGTGTTGTCCGTAAAACCGCAGTACAACTTTTTTGTACGTTTATCCACCGGATGGATCTTTAAGTTGGGGTACTGTAATTTCAATTCATGTAATACATCCTGTTTTTAAAAACTCATTGGGCTGGCCGAGTCTACAGATAAAATCATTTTTACAATCATTTCCCATCCAAGACCTATGTTCAATGTTTTTTTGTTTCCAGTCCATTTTGGTCATAAATTGTCCTCACGCTCAATACTGAGTAATCGTCTTCGTCGCTCTGACCGCTTTTGTTCCAGGCGTTTATAACTCCACAAGTTTCTTGGTTCTCACTACAGGAATTGTCCGACGGGACGTATTTACAATTCTCGATATTGACAGAGTCAACTTACAATATTTACAGTTTGTCTTTTGTTACTTGATTTACATAATTCTGCGAAATGGCCTTTATAGATACAATTTTTACAGATGATCTCTCTTGTCGGACAAACGTTTAGATGGCCTTTGGTGAAAGGATTTCCGCATATCATGCATGAATTATTTCTTTCGATGTTTAAACTTGTTTCCTTCTTGACATGATTAGTTCCGTGAAATGATTTAAAACTTGACCCGTTGGTCGCTTTTGCCATACTAGTTAACTTCTGGTGATTAAAGAAGCCTTTGTCATCTTTTAGTGCCTGGGTCAGGGCTTCCGATGGGCTGATGGTTCACGACAGGTGTTTCCGTTGGGTCTCACTATTCCTCATGTTGCTAGATCCGTCAATGCTCCCCAGAACTTTTCAAAGGAGTCTCTTTCTCTTTGCTTTCTATTTAGGAGTTTGTACCTCTTAAATGTGACGTTAGGAGGTTTGTTAAAAGCAAGATCTAAGAGATCTCAAAGTTCTTTAGGAGAGATAGAACAATATTTTTCTCGAGGGTTTCTCTGAGAGAATACACTTTTCCCTTCATTTCCGAGAGCTAGAAATAAAATAGATCTGAATTTTTTGTCCGTTTCCGCTTGTCTC